ACATGCCCCTTGGGGACCCACTTTTGTGGGAGAGGGAGGACCTAATGGACCACCACACACACGCGTGCGCCGGCCGGTCGGTCGGTTCACTTGAGACTATATATTTTTTGGAGAAATTCCGAACGAAATTAATTATTAATTGGGTATTCTAAGGAATATTCGAAGGATAATCCCGCAAGAATTATATTACATATGGGTTTTAATTAAGGAAGTAATTATCTTCCTTAATTAATCTGACTTATTCTCTAAGTAAGAGGATATATTCCTAGAGGTTCGGCTCCTATAAATAGATGCCTCCCCAGTCCCTCTAACCACACCACAATACGAGCATAAACACAATAGAGAGAGTGTTCATAGAACTCCGGTTTTCGTACAAAACAGCAAGTATAGAGAGGAGCTGTTTTATCCTGGAGAAGACCAGTTGATAGTCTGCCATGCACATCGAGGGCAGTGTCGCGATCGTCTTAAAGAATGCGACCTAATCCGCAACTCAGCTCCAGATTCGGTAACCTCGTTCTTGTTGTTGTTCCGTTCCTAACACATATTTATGATCTCATCTCAGATATTTGATAGGTTTGTCAGTAAAGTGTCGACTTTCCTTTCTTGTAAGTGACAATTCATGTTGGATTGAAGAATCACATTAAATCAAGTCAGCAGATTGGATTGCCCCAGAGATGGTAAGAAGCTTGAATTTATGCACGAATCAAGGGGGAGGCAGTTGATTGATCACAACGATTTCTGAAGTTCAAATTGCGACGACTACTCGAGCAGAATAATATATATATCTCGATTGTAAACCGTTGTAGGTACTATTTGTGGTACATGGCAAAGAGTTGGGTTAAGCAGTGTCTTTGATCTGAACTGGGATAGAGGATCAGTTGATCAAAGGTTGTAATGAATCCATGCGCGGATTCGCGTCTCGAGTTGTACCTTTTGATTTTCTCACTTCCCTGTGTAGTCGTTTTTCTTTCTTAGAGTCAAAGAAAATCAAAAGTGTCTCTCGGAATAGTGGGTACTATTCCGGGACGAGGAATAATCCTGTGGTGAACCTCGTTAAAAATCTCGCCGTCTCTTTTACTTTTCTGCTTGCTTTCTCTGCTTCGTTTTTCCTTCCCCTGTTCTGGGGTTGCTCTGCTTCTATTTACGGGTTGTGTCGAGGAACAAGAAGAAGATCTTTCCTTAGTCATTCTGCTAAGTTTGGCCAATCGTATAAAAACCCATGCTACACCTTCGTTATAGTCTGTGGGCTTCTGTGTTAGTTGAGCCCAACTCTATTTAAGTCTGTTTAAATAAGGGTTAATTGCATTTTTGGTCACTGAGATTACAAAAAACATTCAAGTTTGGTCACTCGAAATATTTTAATTTATTGATGGTACTTTAGTTTACTGAAACTGTTCACGTTTGGTCACTCTTCGTCCAACTCCGTTAACTTTTGCTTACGTGGCGATCAACTCTAAAAGTTGACCTTTAAATAGGGCTGCCTATTTGGTTCGGGTTTTTTGGTTTTACCCGAAACCGGACCGTATAACCCGGATCGGGACCGATTAGTAAACAATTCAATCCAATCTTTGGGCTTAGATTGGAGGTAAAAAACCGTTTGGGACTAGATCGAAAGCTGGATAAAGACCGGATAAGAGAACTCAACACCGAAAACGTAAGGGTAATTTGCATAAACGGTCACAAACCTTTGCACTTAGTACAAAACTTAACCAACCCCTCACCCTTTCAGGCCTTAGTCCACTCAAATCCCCACAACCTCAATATAAAAGCAAGACCGGACCGGATCAAGACTGGACTGTATCCAATCTAATCTTTGGTCCTTATATTTTCAAAATGACCGGACTGGACTAGATCAATTTGGGCCAATTTAATTGGACCGGACCGTATAGCGACCCCTACCGTTAAATGTGAGACATGGTAATTTAAAAATAATAAAATTAAATTTTTCAAAATTTCCATATCATTTCCACCTCATTATCACTTTTATTTAAAATAAATAAAAAATCCTAATTTCTTCTTATCCCCAATACCAATATCCGCCACACGGTGCCGCCGGCTCATTACTCTGCCATCCACTGCCACGATCTCTACGGCGACGACCACCCATGGGAGATCTCCCGGCGCCTCCACTTCTTCGGTGACGAGCCCGACAACGTCTACGCATTCTCTGAGCTCAAGAAGAAGGCAAAATCCGACGGCGGTGTGAACAAGAGAGTGATTCGGAAGGTCGGGAGGAGCGGTGGGAACTGGCACGACGAGGGCATTGGGACCCTGTTCAAGCTAGTCTGCCGCGCTCGGTCTCCGATTGAGCAGGACGAGCGGTGGATCGGGACGCGGAAGAGGTTCAGCTACCAAAACCCTAATCCCCAATTCGCCGGTGAGAACGCCAAGTGGATCCTCCACCAGTCCAGCATGAGAAGAGGTGACGCCCGCAACAGTGACGACTAGAGGGAAGTCATGTGTATGATCCACAACAACGGGTCTCCAATGGGGAACGTGATTAAGGAGGCGGCCCAAAATCAACCACTGCTGCAGCAACAGAAACAGGAATAAGAACCTCCCCTGACTTCTACTAAGTTCGATTGTTCGAATCAAGTGGCTCCCCTGCCTACGGTGGTGCTGCCACCACAGCAACTAGAAGGTTCGCAACCAGTCCAAGAAGAAAATTTGGATGAATTGGATGTAACTTCGAGCATCGATTTCGATTACCCGGACGAGGAATTCGATTTGGTAGATCAGGGATGCGGCGGGGTATTGGTATTGGGGATTAGAAGAAATTAGGGTTTTTTATTTATTTTAAATAAAAGTGATAATGAGGTGGAAATGAGATGGCAATTTTGAAAAATTTAATTTTATTAATTTAATTATTTTAAATTGCCACGTCACACATTTAATGGTCAACTTTTAGAGTTGACCACCACGTAAGTAAAAATTAACAGAGTTGGACGGAGAGTGATCAAACGTGAACGATTTAAGTAAACTGAAGTACAACCAATAGTTTTAAATATTTTGAGTGATCAAACTTGAACATTTTTAGTAATTTTAGTGACCAACCATGCAATTAACTAGTTAAAATAGTCAGTTGTCTTTGTTGACTTTGCGTTTTAACCAGACATAGTAATAAAATAGGGCTCAAAATAGGGTGAGTAACAATGAGTAACCAAATCTGGACACTTCTTTTAAGTGACTGCAGATCTAAGGTGGAGAATTAAAGGAATTTATTTTCCCTAGTTTTCTTAATTGGATCATATCTTCTTCATTCTAACTCGGATTTCAATTTTTTTGCATAGATGGAACGAGTTCGTTGTGCTCTACAAAATGATATCCATTTTCAATATTTTTTGAGAAATTTTTTTTTCATCCCTCTCGTTACCAACTCCATACCATATGGTATCTCCTTCGTTGTTTAGTCATTTTCGGAAATTTTTGCACAAAAGGAACGATTTAATCATGATCTATTGGATTTCAAAATTTTTCTGGGGAAAAAATTTCAAACCTCTTGTTACCAACTCCATACCATACTCTACCACCCTGGTATGAAGTGGTATTTTTCATACCATATGGTATGCTGTTATTTAATACCTTATGGTATTGACTAGTATTAAATAACAACATATGGTATTGACTGGTATTTTCATACCATATGGTATGCTGTTATTTAATACCAGTCAATACCATATGATATAGTCAATACAATATGGTATAGTCAATACCATATGGTATAGACTGGTAATAATTGGCAAAAAAAATTTGTTCCAAAAAATATCAAAGTGGATATCATTTTGAAGAGCACAATTAATCTGATCTAACTGTGCAAAAAAAAATTAAATTTCGAGTTAAAACGAGTGAGAAATCGTGCGTTAAAGATTAAGGGAAAGAAAATTAATGATTTTTCCAGGAGAGACAAGGAGGCGCTGATGTGGCATTTTCTTATTGGGTTATGCATAAGGTTACTCACCACAAGATTACTCATCGGATCTGCTCCCCTAAAATAGGATCTTCGTCAAATAGCTAGAGGTGGCAGTTCGGTTATCGGTTAACCGGTCGGTTAAAGCGATAACCGACCAGTTATCCACTAACCGGTAACTAGGGCTACAAACGAGTCTAGTCGAGTCGAGTTTTTGCTCAGCTTGAGCTCGACTTGTTTATAAATTTTTCAGCTCAAGATCGGCTCGAACTCGAATTTTGATCATCCAGCTCGAGCTCGAGCTCGACTTGATTAAAAACAATCCATCTCGAGCTCGGCTCGATAGAGCTCGATAAATGCTCATTAACACAGCTTGTCAAGCTGAAGTACAAGCTCGCTCAAGATGAGCTCGATTTGAAATCATTCTTTGCTGAAAAATGTGTACAAATAAGAATATTAGAAACTAAAAATGATAAAAAGAACACTAGAAACTAAAAATAACATCTGACTTCCATACACATCCTTATTAACATGATAATTTTCATGTTCAAAAGAGTAATTAATCCTTTCACAAGCTCTAAACAAGCCAGCTCGCGAGCTTAGCTCAATAAGCCACCGAGTCAAGCTAGCTCACGAGCTTATCAAGCTGAGCATGGTCTAGCTCGAGCTTGGCTCGTTTACTAACGAGTCGCCTCGTGAGCCGGCTTGTTAAACAACGAGTCGAGTGTCGAACGAATTTTTTTCGATTCGAACGCCGAGTTGCTCGCGAGCGGCTTGGCTCATTTGCAGCCCTACCGGTAACCGAAGTAACCAAACTTCGGTCGGTTATCGGAGGCTGGACGAAATGGTTTTTGGTCTTAAAAGTTGTTCGGTTAACCGATAACCGAGAAACCGAAGTCTATTTCGAGTGGTTTTCGGTAGGAGGAGTGGTTATTTCGGTTAGCCGATAACCGACCAATCGATTACCGATTATAACCGAAATAACCGAACTGTCACTCACCCCTACAAATAGCCTTTCACAATTCATTCAAAAAATTAACAGATAGTACTTTTCTTATATATAGGAACAGATAGTTACTCTTTTAAACCAACTAAGAACACTCCAATTGACTTATTCATTGTTAAAGTTACCCTAAATGAAATTGTGTTTGAGTTTTCTTTAATTTAGACTTGAAGATTGAAGGGTGAGTTTTCTTTAATTTCAAACGTTTATGAAGATTGAAGGGTGAGTTTTCTTTAATTTAGACTTGAAATTAAGCACACATATTTGTTTCTCAAGAAAAGTTTGAATGTTTACTGTTTAGTATTTAAGCCGCCGTGACTATAATAACATGGTACGTGGTCAAACAACGGTACCTTCCGTTTCAAAGGGGGCTATATTAATGTACCATCAACCATGCAGCCACCCCACCGCCCAACATAAACAAATGAACCACAGCGAAGTATGAATCCCCTGCGCTCCTTCCTCCTCCTCATTTTCTCATCCACATGGATCACTTCCTCCACCGCCGGCGACCATAACAACTTCCTTCTCTGCCTTGGCTCTCGAAACACCACCGTCTCCCCCAATTCGGACCTAATCCACACCCCAAACTCCGCCTCGTACTCCTTCGTCTTCCAATTCTCCATTCGAAACACCCGGTTCAACGACACCGCAGCTTCCACAAGACCCACAGCCATCATCACTCCAAAGACAATCTCCCAGGTACAATCCGCCGTCGTCTGCGCCCGCACCCATGATGTTCAGGTCAGGGTTCGGAGCGGCGGCCATGATTTCGAAGGCATGTCCTACGTTTCCACCTCTCCCTCCTCAACCCAGCCATTCCTCCTGATCGACCTGATCAATCTCCGAAACGTCGCCGTAGACGTCCCCTCAAAGTCCGCGTGGGTCCAGGCTGGCGCGGTACTGGGTGAAGTCTACCATGGCATTGCCTCCGCTAGCGGGACCCTCGCCTTCCCGGCGGGGATCTGTCCCACCGTCGGAGTCGGCGGCCACGTCAGCGGCGGAGGGTACGGCATGTTGATTAGGAAGCACGGAATCGCCGCGGATAACGTATTGGACGCCCAGTTAGTCGACGCGAGAGGCAGAGTCCTGGACAGAGCCGCCATGGGGGAGGACGTCTTCTGGGCGATTCGCGGCGGCGGAGGGAACACCTACGGAGTCGTGGTCTCCTGGAAAATAAAGCTGGTTACCGTTCCCGCTCGCTTGACCGCGTTCACTGCCGTGAGAACGTCGGAAGAAAACGTGACAAGAGTCTTTGACCGATTTCAGCACGTGGTGGACAAGCTCCCCGACGATCTCTCGATCCTGCTGACGCTAAACACGGTGAACTCCACAGCAAAAGGGAAACTCACAGCCACGATGCAAGCTGTATTCCAGGGTCTGTATGTGGGAGAAACAGAGACTCTGTTGGGGGTGATGGAACAGAGCTTTCCGGAGCTCGAATTAACGGGACAGTACTGCAGGGAGATGAGCTGGATCCAATCGATTCTCTACTTCGCCGGGTACCCAAATAATGCAACCTACGACGAATTGTTGGACAGCAGGAGTAGCGCCCCTGTCCAATTCAACAAGGTGAAGGCGAAATCGGACTACGTGGAGGCGCCGCTTCCGGTGAAGGTGCTACAGGGGATTTGGAAGAGACTGTACGAACTGGAATCGGGACCGTCGTTCCTGCAGATTATTCCTCACGGAGGGATGATGAGCCGGATTTTGGATTCCAGTATTCCGTATCCGCACAGAGCCGGGAATGTATACAAGATCCAGTACTATGCGGTCTGGTCCAGAGAAGGGAAGGAAGTGGAGAAGAGGTATTTGGATTGGATAAGAAGGCTGTACGAATTCATGACGCCGTACGTTTCCAAGAACCCCAGAGGCGCGTACGTGAATTCGAGGGATCTGGATTTGGGGAGGAACAATCTGGGGAAAACTACGAGCTATAGGCAGGCGCGGATTTGGGGGGAGAAGTATTACAAGCATAATTTCGAGAGGTTGGCTCGTGCCAAAGCAGCCATTGATCCTTCTAATTTCTTCAGGAATGAACAGAGTGTGCCTCCTTTCACTGGGTGATCAGTGATGACTGATGAACCTGGGCAGAGAGTTTAAAGCTAGCGTAATGATGCTTGAGCCCGTCCGCCCGCTGCTGTGATTTTTCTTTTATTATGCTTCTGTTTTTTTTACTTCTGTTGTTGTAATAAAACCTTTTGAAAAATACTGAAATTGTTAGATGAGTAAGACCACTGTTCATGTGAAAAAAGTAAGATATAATGAAGTGATTATGCTTTGAAATACTGAAATTATGAAAATTCATATGTATTATTAGTATATTAAAGCAACAAGTATGCGGTACGGTAGCATACCAAATTATAGGCAATTATTATATTTTAATAGGTAATTAGTATATTCTTTACCACATGTACGGTTCATGAGAGGTATTTATCCCCTACATCCAATTTTATTACAAGCTTTTTATTATTTGCATTACATTAAGGTTTTTAAAGTCAGTTTTTTTTACAAAATTGTTTACAAATATCAACATTATTTTATTTTAATAGGCAATTAGTATGTATTTATCTCCTACATCCAATTTTATCATAAGATTTTTATTATTTCCATTACATTAAGGTTTTCAAGGTTAGTTTTTTTACAAAACAGTTTGCAAATATCAACATTATTTTATTTTAATAGGCAATTAGTATATTTTTTTTACCATGTGTACTGTTCATGCAGGGCCGGCCCATTATATTCGGGGGCCCTGTTCGAAAATAAAAAATGTGGCCCTAAAATTTTTTTTCACAAATTTATTGTAAATAAAATTTATAAAATAATTATAAAAAATACATAACTTCAGAAAATTATTACAATAGGGATAATATTATCGATCATTGTTTGAAAAGTAACAACCGTCTAGTATTATTTGAAATACAATCCTCTATTAGTTCTTCCATCTTTGCATCCTCCAAGAAGTTATTCTCAAATTTTCTAAATGACATAATCCCAATAGGCAATCAAGACAAATCCCTGCAAAAAAAAAATAAAAAAAAATTGTTAGAATGAGACACTCGGCTTTGCCCTCTGAAACCTGCCACATTGAAGCAAATTCAAATATCAAGAACAAAACTTGATACTAAAATCCAGCAGAAGAACAACCACTTGGGAAACTAGGTTAATAGAAATAGGTTAATAATGGCCCACCACAACAAGTAATAGAAAATTAGAAATAGGTTAATAATGGCCCATTGCCATTCAAGCTTGGCCCATTTCTCCCAATTCCCTTCGGCTGGCAAGGGCCTGTTGTAAAAAAAAAAACCAAAAAACAAAAAATTCCCTTCGGCCAAACTCAAGAAGCAGAGTATCAGGAGAACAGAGTCTCCTCTCCCATCTCCAAATCAAACTTCCAAACTCAATTAGCCATCCAATTTCCAAACTCAATTAGCAATTCCCATTCGACCATTCTCCGAGACAGCTAGGGACAGGAAATTCTTACCGATTTCCAAACCACGGAGAGACGGAACCAAGTCGGAATTGGGATTCTCGGAACCAGGGGCAGGGGATTCTTGGAACCAGGGGAGCGCCGGAGTGGAACCACCGGAGGCGAACTGGGATTGAGGCGAACTGCGGTTGATTTTATCAATCGAAGGAATGAAAATAGAAGGCTGGGGGTGGATGCTTCACCTTCTTGGCTGAGTATTTAAGGGTGATTTGGAGAACGTTGGTGGATTAGAGACGTTGGTGGATTTTTGGGAAGATGAGAATATTGGAGAAAACGATTAATGATTGATAATTTTGGGAAGGGAGGTTACGAGAATTGAGGAAGATTGGCGAATAAGGAGGCTGGCTGCCGCTGGAATTAATTTTGGGAAGATTATTGGCGAAGATTGGCGAACTCCTCGGCTGCCCTGCTGCTGCCGATTGAATTAATTTTTTTTTTTTATATATATGTGTATAGTATATGGGCTGAGGCCCCAAATATTGTGAGGCCCTGTGCTGTGGGTCAGACCAGCACAGGGCCTGGGCCGGGCCTGTGTTCATGAGATGTATTTATCTCCTACATCCAATTTTGTCATAAGCTTTTTATTATTTGCATTACATTAAGGTTTTTAAGGTTAGTTTTTTTTACAAAACCGTTTGCAAATATCAACATTATTTCTCTATATCAATTAAGTAATTAAAAATATATTATATAAAGCTTACAAATTCAGCATTATTTCTCTATTATTTGCATTATACCAAAATTTTGTAAGGTAATTTTTTTTGGATTTTGCTACGGTGACATGCATGTCACCGTGACATGGACTTTTCGGTCGACCTAATCCAACATGCGGTCGACCGAATGGACTAATTCAGGTATGTGGGGTTCCGAGACACGGTCGACCTCTTACATAATACAGTCGACCGCTTTGGAGGTCTAACAGAATGAAAGGTCGACCCAAATATCTCATAGGCCGACCATTGTGCGCCTAATAGGTCGACCACATTATGAAGAGGTCGACCGCATTCACACCGTATCCGTATTGGATATGGATTCCAACACCAGAAAGGTTCCACAATTGGACAAGGAAACGAATTGGGTCGACCCATTGACGTCCTAAATCTCTATAAATACGAATATAAGTCCCCTTCAACGCATCCAAGTCTGAATTAGGTTTTTTTCCGATTAAGAGCCTTTGTGAAGAAGATCGTTCGCGGTTGCTGTTGTACGCGTTGGAAGTGATCGACCAGGTCTAAGGTGAGGTCGACCTAATGTACCATTCGTCGTCTTCTTTCCTAATGCGTGATTTCTACCGGCTAATTTGATATATTGTTGGGTGCAGAATTTCATTCGGTCGACCGTGACGTCAACCAGGTCGACTTGACGAGGCAATTCTGCGTATTTGAATTTAGGCCACAACATTTGGATTTCTGTACTTGCGAGGTAACCCAATTGGTCGACCTAATGGGTTTCAAGGTCGACCGATCCTGTTTTTTTGGTTATTCAACCTGAATGTCGACTTTGGCTTTGATTGTATGACTATGTTGTGCTTGAAAAGGTCGACCGCGCCAGATATCTAGTCGACCTATCCTTTTTTCGGTTTAATTTTGAACTTACTTTTTGTTGTTAATTGTTATTTTCCTGCTGGATAGGTCGACCTAGGAATAACAGAGGTCGACCTTAATGGTTGTGGTAGTCACTATTTGTCTTCCAGGTCGACCTAATACTTTCTCAGGTCGACCACGTCTTTGTTTTTTGGTCAATTGTAGAAATTTGTAGTTGAATTATGATTTAAATTTTTCTTGAAATTGTTTAGACAATGACGCATGATGAGAAACTGCATCAAGATTTGGGTGAAATCATGAAATTGTTGAAAGCCACACAAGAGAAGTTGGTGGTGTGTCAAACACAAGTCAATGACTTTCAGAAGTCCATGTGTGATAGAGTGGAGCAATTGTCAGTTCGACTGACAGATATGACTGGGATGATGCATGACGGGTTTGTGAGGCTAGAAGGTGCTATCAAAGATATAAGTGCAGAACGAATGGAGAATGGCGGAAGAAATGGTAAAGGAAAGAAATTTGACTTTGGTAAAGAGGAAGAAGACCATGATGACTCTGAAAATTGCTACCAGAGCATAGACGATTTATTGAAAGAGCACATTTTAAAGGTATCCAAGTATATTCATATGTGATTGAAGATATTAGTATTACTATCATTAGTGCTAATTTGTTTTGTTTATATGTTTGACAGAGTGAAACAACGAATGGCAGCAAGGGTTCCTCTCCTAAGTACAAGAGACCGCGATATGAAAGTGACTCCTACACCACTCCACAGAAGGATCAATTTGTAAGAAAAGGATTATTTAGTGATGATAGCGATGAAGATGAATCTAAGAGTCCTTTCGAAAAGCACGGGGTAAGTTTACGTTACATATTCATCTATAATGTGTGTTTGTGTTCATATGTTACTTTAATTTTAACTATGATTTGTAGGTCATGAAAGTGGAGGGTCTAGAAGGATTCACCAAAAATCTTCAAAATCCAGTTGAAGACTTGTATTATGTTGTTACTAAAGAGAAGGCTGGGGACAAGAATTGGGACAAGTAAGACGTTTTTTAGTACGTGTGGTCGACCGCATCGGTCATGAGGTCAACCTTTTCCAATAAGGTCGACCGTGACTGTGAACAGGTCGACCTGTACGTTGTCACAATTGACATTTCTGTTATTTTGATTTTTGCAGTTTGACCGTTGTGGACTTTTTTCTGAAAACGTGCAACGACATTATTTGAGTTCGGTCATTAGCGAGAATAGCTGGGTTTGCTCATCAGTAAGTACTATACTACTACGACTTTCGTATGAATTGTGCACTATTTATGTTACGATTTATGATGATTTTGTGTTTGATTGTTAGATGGTAGGTAGTGGATTTGTGTGCAAGGGCACTAACAATGTCTGAAAAAACATGATGTGAAAGAGCCAAATGTGTGGTATTTGCCAAATATGTTTTCGGTAAGAGCCGTAATGTCTTCATAACCTAGTTATTTATATTGTACCATGTCAATTCATCTCAACTAAAACATGGTGCAGAAAATGGTACGCGCTAACATGAAGACCAGACAAATTCGTAACAAGTTGATGAATGATGGCGTGGTCTTTATGCCGAATGTCAGTGCATGCCAGAAGGTTAGTCTAGTCAATGTCCCTCTATCATTAAATTTTGAAAGTGCATTTGTTTGTATTCGCTGTTTATAACATATAGTGAGTGTTTCGTTGCTAGATATTTATGCCAGTTCTTGACGATGAAGCACGTCATTGGTTTCTGTATCTCGTCAATGTCTAGCAAAAAACTGCATTTTTGCTTGACAGTCTACCTTCAACTAGTGAGGCGAATCGTAGGCGTAAATCAGCACTATGCAAGAAATTGGTAAGTGTTTCCTGTAATTTTCTGACTGTTAAGCGTCACCTATTATGCTAGAAACTTAAAATATTCATTATTTGTGTGTAGTTGTCCAATTTGGATGATATTTTCAAACCAGAGCGCATGAGCAATGTAGGAGTACCAAATTTTGGAGATTTCAATTTTGATGAGCTACGAGCTCAACGGCAAAGGAATAATACTGAGTGTGGTGTGCACGTCATGCAGTGGATGCGCTATGGATCCAAGGATCTTGATAGAGTGGTGAGTATATCGTCAAACAAATAACTTGTTTAATTTACACTTTTTTTAGTTGTAACGAAA